GTTTGTAATTACATTCTATTATGGAGTATAATGGTATGTAATGAGCAATTTTCTAAATAAAAGGGGAAGACGGTCAAATAAATTCTTCTATTATTTTGAGTTTATCACTCAAGTCCTTATACTAAAAAAGTATCATATAAGTACGCTTAAAAAAAACAATCAATATATTCTAGCATTTTAATCAGTTTTTGAGCAGTAATAACATGTTTTCATACTAAAAGCTTTAAAAATTTGGTAACATTTTAAGAAGGGAAAATAACTTTAAATAATACCAACTATCACTCATCAACCAATAATAGTACATACTTTGAAAATGATTTTTAATAATATTAACTATTTGAATGTAAAACAAAAATAATATGAAGTCACTTTTTAACAAGAAATCCAATCATTTAAGAGTTTAAGACATCAAAAACTAATTGCAAACCATCAAATAAATGATATTCAAAAATACATTCACTTATTTGATATTTTAATTTTAGTTTTTGGTGAATTAAATGACTAGTTTTTTGGTGAAAAAATGTTGTATATCACTTTTGGTCTATATTTAAATATTTGGTATTATTACAAGTTATTTCCAAAGTACGTATTATTCTTAGTTCATAAGAGATAATTTGTATTATTTAAAGTTATTTTCCCTTTTAAGAATTATATATATTTGGAAATAATAAAAACTGTTACCAAACAAATAACCCCATTTTTGACATATGATGAATATATGAAATTGACCTAGAGACCTGAATATCAATTTCACTTTGGATGTTCTTATTAGTGCTTCATGTGGCAACTACTAGTGTTTAGTTACCGATCAAAAACTGCTCAATAAATTCTGATTCTCTGATGGTTACTTTTCCAAGCTAAGTTAATTTTGGGGACACATTTTGGTATGTTCCATTTCTGCATTTCATAATGCTTAATGTGATTTCTTCCGCTAATCGTTCTGGGTTTTGGTGTATAGGATGCTCGCCGCAAGTTTATATGGGAAAAAATGTATTATTTGGAGAGATGGTGGGGGGATGCATCAGCTGCAAATAAAGAACCCTTCATCAATTTAGCACAGAATGGACAACTAGAAATCGTAGGTGGTGGTTGGGTGATGAATGATGAGGTAACCCTCTGCTGTTAATGTAATGGCATTTTTGCAATGGTGTGCAAATACTGATTTTTGTCTTCAGGTGTTGCATATTTCATACCATTGGGATTTGGGAATGGTGAAAAAAAAGCCATGTTTTTTTACAGATTACAGTGGTGATTTGACAATTTTTTTTAGTAAAAGTTACCATAATGAATGAGTTCTAGGCTTCTAGCCTCTTGCAAAAATGTTTTCATACTAATAATTTTCAAAAATGCTAAAGGTACCCCATTTTGGGGTCCCCTATTGTGTGGTCACGAATGGGGCAATACTTTTAAGTGGGGCAACACTTTTAAGTGTGGCCTCATTTGAACCACACAATGTGTGATGTAAAAATGGGGTATCCCAAAATGGGGTACCTCTAGCATGGTTGAATAATTTTAGTGCTCATATATATTTGGAAACTAATACATAGTGTATGATATATAACTGCTTATCATAATATACTACAAATACAAAGTAATTAGTAGTGCTAGAAACTTAGGTAACTTACAAATACAAAGTATACTATTACTCAATAACTTAATTTAATAATTTAATAGAATATTCTAATTTTTTATTATGTTTTATTATTATTATATATTTTTTAAAATGTAACTATGAAATCTTAATTTTAGTACTTGGATCTATTTCATAAAAAAAAATTGGTTATGAAATTCTCCGTTTGTTAAAACTTCATTTTTTATTCCTTATATGCAACTAGGAGTGTCATGTTTGTATTGTCTATATAGGAATAATCACTCCCAAACTTAGAAAATAATTTTATGTTTAAAGTCTTATAATGTATTATTATTGTTATTGTTGTTGTTATTGTTGTTATTGTTGTTATGATTATTGTTGTTGTTGTCATTATTATTGTTGTTACTCTTGTTAGTGTTGTTATTGTTGTTATTCTTGTTATTGTCATTACTGTTATTATCGTTATTATTGTTATTATCATTATCATTATCATTGTCATTGTCATTGTCATTGTCATTGTCATTGTCATTGTCATTGTCATTGTCATTGTCATTGTCATTGTCATTGTCATTGTCATTGTCATTGTCGTTGTCATTGTCATTGTCACTGTCATTGTCACTGTCACTGTCATGTCACTGTCACCGCCACTGTCACTGTCACTCTCATTATAATTGTCACTGTCAATGTCACTATCACTATAACTATCACTATCACTATCACCACCACTATCACTATCATTATCATCATTACTGTTATGACAAACAAATAATAGAAAAACAAGAGAGTAAAAAAGAATGAGGGTGACTAAATAAAAATATGGTAAGTAGAGCTCATAAAAAAATTTACTCTTTATACTGAATTTAAGAAAAAAAACTCAATTTGATTCATGTGATTAAGTTTTATTTTGAGTTTAAGTGTACATTTACTTTACCGATATTTCGTAATAATGATGATCGATCAACCATGCAGTTGTGACGCCTATACATAAAAAGGTATTTCAAAATTCTAGATACCAATCATAATATAGAGTATATTTAATTTTTTGTATACTAAAATTTTTTCACAACTTATATGAAAAAATATGCATGTTTATGTGACAACATCCAATATTAATGAATTTATTCGTAATTTGCAAATTTTATTCTCCCGTGCATCGCACGGGTATAACACTAGTAAGTAAAAAAAATTATTAGCAACTGCTTCTTAAATGAATGAAATTCTGTAGAAGATAATGGAGTTTGAAAGATCCTGATTTCAATGCATGAAGAATTGAGTTCACTCGGGTTCCTTCATGTATTGAAATTAGGGGGTCCGGTGATCGCCGAGTGGCCGTCACAGGTTTCCAACAGGGGTGTTCGATAAGCTTGAGGGATGAGGCATCCAAGTCGGTCCGACAGCTTGGGGGCAGAAGCTTTGGTCAAGCTCTCGTTGACTGTTGCGCTAGGGCGACAAGAGGGAGACACACATACGCAGTTCAAACTCCAGGAGAAAGAAGGAAAAAAAGAAAGAATAAAAGGAAAAATGGAAAAAAATAAGAAAGGAAAAGAAATATGAAAATAATAATAATAAAATAATAATATGAATTTTAGGATTTTTGGAAAGCACCTGGATTTTGAAGTCCAGGGGGAAGCTGATCTGAATTCATAAGGCCGAAAGGGAACTAACAGCTAACTTGAACTGCGTGGGAGACTCGTGATGGGATTATGGGACTAGACCGAGAGCCTAATCTGACCCGGCCTTGAAATTAGACCCGTGAGTCCAAGCCCATGACCCAGACGTTGGCCCAAGCTCAGGTCCATTGTCTCACCAGGCCAGTCGACCAGCAAGCCCAAGCCCGAGTCATTTATCTCGCCAGCCCAACCCGACCAGCAGACCCAGTAACCCAGAGCTTGAGTTGGCCCAACCAATCAAAACCATCAAGGAGCAGAAGTCCAATAGAGCAGAATTCCAAGACAACTTGTCTACCGAAGGCCCACCTACTAGAACTTGCCTTCCGGCCCAGCAGGGAACATGCCTTCTAGCCCGGTCAGGACCCGGCCTTCAGCCCACCAGGGAGCCTGCCTCCATTCCAGCGGGAAGCCTGCCCTTTAGGCCGACCAAGAGCCTGCCTCCAGCCCAACGAGGAGTCTGTCGTCCCGTCCAGCACGAGGGAGCTCAAGCTTCCGACCAGCCAGGCAAGAACAGTAACGGCCAACCAGGTTGATTGGTTGTTTTGCAAAAAAATGTATATGATGTGATTATCGAAATTATAAATATGGATATTTTCCCTAGACTTTAAAATGATAAATAATACGTAGTACTCCATAATAATATAAATTTTGCATTTTATTTTTAGCGAACATTGACCGGGATTCTTGGCCGTTGACCAGTGTTGAGGTTTATTCCTTCAACCCTCGGGTCCAACACGTAAGCCCAAGAGTTTCGAGTGGAGTGTGTTTGTGAATAAACTAGCTCAACTAACAAGTGAGATGGATTAAGAAACAGTAAGTAGCAAGTAAGAGATTAGGTATTATTAATCAGTTAATAACTCCCCAATACAATACTTTCGCTAAGGCTTGTCGGCCGTTCGTCTTACAAAGCAGTAGAAGAGCTGCGAGTAAGAATGCTATAAGCTAGAGTGCTAAGAATAGTAAGTTGCCAACCCTTTACAATGAAATAAATTTTGCTATTTATACTACCAATGGGTAGCTGGCTATGCTGACGTGGAGGTTTGTGAGTGGCTGATGTCCCAACCACCAAATCTCCGGCATTAAATGCACCTCCCGCCAGAATCTGGGTTTTCCGCCTAGTTCGTGGGGACGTACGTCCAGTCTGGTCAAGGGGGACTGCTCTTGGTGATGCTGGACACTGCAAAGGGTAATGGGCCGTTCGTATCCTGGCCCTTAGAGATTTGTCGCATGGATTGGACTGGCCCCAATTGTTAGTGGCTTCTGGAGGCGACGTTCGTTGCCGTTGCGTTTGTCTGTGGATTTGGTCCACTTGTCTTGTATGGACGTTCGTCTGGTCGAGGTGAATGGGCCGGCCCATGTGCTGGGCCATTAACCCAACAACCAGGTTTACTCTCCGGGCCCGAGCTGACCCTCGACTCGGTCATTCGGGTGGTCACCCAATCCTGTTTTGATAACATACTCCATAGGTTTTAGTTCCTTCTAAGTATTTATAAGTTAGAGCAATTTGTTTTATTTCAAATAATTTAGGCGTCCTATACGATTTTAAGAGCAATTCTTGTTGTCACGAAATAAATGTTATATTTTTTTCCTTTGAAAACACTGTACACGGACAATCATGTTGGTTTGTCTGTGCATGCTGTTTTCATGGAAAAAACAACAACCCTTCACAAACAGTGTAAGAATATTTCGTGTACAAAATGTTTTTTCGTGATTTTAAACGCAAAACTATCTTTGTACGAAGTACCTTTACATGGCTTTCTGCCCGCTCTTGCCCCCCCATGCTGTCCCCTGTTTCCCTCCTCTTCCAACAACAAAATGCTGTTTCTTTCTAATGGAGCCATTGAAACTTATGCCACTGCTTCGGGGTATAAAATATCTGAATCTCTTCTCTCTCATTTTTTTTAGATGTTTATCTTATTCCCTATATCGCGATTTTAAGCATTCCCCTTCTCCGTTTCCATTAAAATTTGGTTTCCTTCCACTTCCGTTGCATTCCTTATCCACCATTCATCAATCCAGACATTCGGTTCACTCTGCATTGTTAATTGCGATCCTTCCATCGGTTTAACCCCATTATATTAGCAATTTGCAATTTTTGTTTTTCAAAATTTGGGATCTTTCCGGTGTACAATCCTTTATTTCTCCGCAAGAAATTTTGCAACTTTTAATAAATGATTGATCTTCGGTTGAACTTTGAAATGTCACAATAACGTTTTATTGAGGGCAGAGGGAGAGGAAAATGAAGCTTCTAGTGCGAGTGATTGAAGCGCGGATCATGCCGGGAAATGACCAAAATGGGCTCAGTGATGCCTATGTGAAAGTGCAGATGGGGAAGCAGAAGTTCCGGACGAAGGTGGTGAAGAAATGCGTGAACCCATCATGGTGTGAGGAATTCGGGTTTCGGGTTGAAGAGTACAAGGAGGAAGAGCTGGTGGTTTCTGTTCTTGGAGAAGATAAGTACTTCAATGACGATTTTGTGGGCCAGGTTAAGATCAACATTTCCCAGGTTCTTGAAGCTGATGGGAAGTCCCTTGGAACTGCTTGGTACACTTTGCATCCCAAGAATAAAAAGGCTAAGAATCGGGACTGTGGTATATAAGCTTCTTCTTCTTGTTCCTTGTAATAAACGGTGATTAATTTAGAATCATTTCAAGTCACTAATGAAGTATATATGCATCTACTAAGCTAAAAGTGGTGTAAAAATCTATGATCTTTATCATTAATCTAATTTGTTTTTCCAGGCCAAATTCTTCTCACGGTTTGTTTCTCTCAAAATAATTCGTTCGCCCCAGACATGCAGGCCGGAGGTGATCTTGTTCCCTTTCCATCAAAGAAGCATAGTGCGGATGTTGCAGGAAATGAATGCGTTTCAAGGTCTTCCTTTGGCTCATTCAATTTCCCGTCCCCAACGAGGTTAGAAGAAGCCAGCTCATTCAAAGAAGAAAAACCGAGTTCGCAGACCTTAGTTGGCCGGCTTTATCAAATGTTCAACAAGAACAGCGATGAACTAGCTGCAGCTTCTGCAAAATGTCCAGATGTTTCTGAAAATCTCTGTACATTGGATAATAAGGAGGAGGGTTCACAAGAGGAGCAGTCTTCATCATCACTCAGCTTTGAAGAAATGATGAGAAGCATGGAGATGAGGGAACAAGAGAGTGAAATTCCAAGTAAATTGCCAGGAGTAGCAGTAGACCGAGTTTTTGCAATCGCACCACGTGAGCTCAACTTAATCCTCTTCTCTCCCGACTCAACCTTCCTCAAATCGTTAATAGACACCCAAGGATCCACCGAGTTGTGTGTAGGTCCTTGGAAGTTCGACAATGGTGGTCAGAGTTTAAAAAGAGTAGTCTCTTTCATTAAGGCGGCGAGTAAATTGGTCAAAGCTTTGAAAACTACTGAGGAGCAAACTTATCTGAAAGCTGACGGGAAGACATACGCAGTATCTTGCACAGTTACCACTCCGGACGCGCCATACGGGAACACGTTTAGGACAGAACTGCTCTACTGCATAACCTCAGGCCCGGATCTGCCTACTGGAGAAGAATCTTCGAGGTTGATGGTTTCATGGCGGATGAACTTCTTACAAAGCACTATGATGAAAGGTTTGATTGAAAACGGAGCACGACAAGGGGTGAAGGAGAATTTCGAGCAATTCTCAAGCTTATTGTCTCAGAGTGTCAAACCTGTTGATGAGGGGGAGAAGCAGGTGGAATTAGGATCTCTTCAGCTGGAACCACAATCGGACACGAAACTGGCATTTCAGTATTTTGCTAATTTCACTGTGGTTTCTACGTTTGTCATGGGATTGTATGTAATTTTCCACATCTTAATTGCCAGCCCTAGCACAATACAGGGATTAGAGTTTATTGGGCTTGATTTGCCGGATTCAATTGGGGAGTTGATTGTTTCTGGAGTGTTAGTATTGCAGGGTACTCGTGCACTGAAGCTGGTTTCAGGATTTATGCAGGCAAGAGTTCAAAGAGGTATTAATGAATAGCTTAATTGCCTAATCTAGTCTAAATGACATATCTAAAGTATGATGATTCACTTTGAATGTGATAGCCAAAGGTGGTGATCACGGAGTCAAAGCACAGGGAGATGGTTGGCTATTGACTGTTGCATTGCTTGAAGGGAGTGATCTGGTGGCAGTTGACTCGGGCGATTGTTCTAATCCATATGTGGTTTTTACTTGCAATGGTAAAACTAGGGCGAGCTCAATCAAGTTCCGAAGTTCATATCCTAAGTGGAATGGTAAATATTCGATGATGGTCTAGTTAAATAACATGAACCTATAAAATCTTGCACTTTACAATTCAAGAATGTACATGAATTGTTTATTCACTTTTACTTATGCCATACTACTTGCATCCCTAACAAAGAGTCTTGTTTCACCACCATACAACTTTTAATTTAGTAAGGTAGAACTATTGGAAAACATCAATTCTGGCTATATTTATAAACTCATTAAAATGTTTAACTTGTCTAGAACATTTTTTTTAAAAATACATTACATATGGTTGAAATTAGACTCTTTTGCTCTGTTATAACTTCTATTTGGGACAAAATAAGTTGCTTGTTACAACTTCCACCGCGGTTTTGTGCAGAAATATTTGAGTTTGATGCAATGGAGGAGCCGCCATCTTTGCTGAATGTTGAAGTTTTTGATTTTGATGGACCTTCCCATGAAGCTACATCTATTGGACATGCTGAAATCAATTTTGTTAAAACAAAAATATCAGATCTGTCTGATATTTGGGTTACCCTTCAAGGCCAGTTTGCTCTAGCCTGCCAGTCTAAGTTGCATTTGAGAATTGTCTTGAATAATACAAAGGGTAGCAATGTCGTCAAAGATTATTTGTCTAAGATGGAGAAGGAAGTGGGAAAGAAGGTGTCCCAGTGTTTTGTTAACCTTTGGAAATCGTTGCTGTATTTATTTTATCTCTTTTATGCTTGTTTATTAATTTCAGATTAAATATATTGTAGATAAAATTAAGGTCTCCCCAAACAAATTCAGCATTCCAAAAGCTTTTTCATCTTCCACCAGAGGAGTTCCTTATCAACGACTTCTCTTGTCAGTTGAAGCGTAAAATGCCCCTTCAGGTAGTTAATATTATAACTGTTGTTTTTGGGGTATGCTTGGTAGAGCAGTAATATGGAGTAGTTAAAGACTGTGATTGGGAAGAGTTGTTTTCAAAGAAAAAGTGTTTTCTCAGATGAAGAAGTGCACTTTTACTTTAAAAGGAAGCCTTTTGCAAGTAATTAGTAATTTTTATTTTTAATTTAAGGAAACACTTTTCGAAGATATTTAAGAAACCGCCAGATTAAATCTTTTTGAAATTTTAAAAAGAAGTGCTTTTAGTACTTAAATGACAAATGACTTATAGAATAAGTAATCCAAAACAAGCTCTAAAGCAGCGGTAGTAGGATTGGACTGGTTGAACTAGTTTAATCTCCTCCCTCCCATTAAACACACACCTGTTTGGTTGACAATTTTTGCTATTTATCCGATGGCCATTTGGAGAGTGGTTGAAGATTTCGATTGTTCTCCCAGACACACATCCTTGGTGTTTTTTTTTTCTTCCCATATAATGCGTTTGTTTGAACATGCTTCTAGTTTTCTATGGATCTATGTCGTCACACCCTCAATTGGTTGGCATTGAAAGAGAATAATCACTCTCTATGAAATTGCATTTATTTGGTGCAGGGTCGTCTCTTTCTCTCTGCAAGAATAATTGGATTTCATGCAGATCTGTTTGGACATAAGACAAAATTTTTCTTTCATTGGGAAGATATTGAAGACATTCAAGTCATTCCAAAGACTTTAGCATCAATTGGCAGCCCTATTGTTATCATGACTCTAAAGTCAGGCAAAGGTTTTGATGCCAAACATGGTGCAAAGACTCAAGATGTAGAGGGCAGGCTTAAGTTCCATTTTCAGTCCTTCGTATCCTTCAGTATGGCTCTTAGGTACTTCTACAGTAAAACTACTTATCCTTCTCGCTTTCTTATCCTTCTCGCTTTCTGGGAACTGTATCAATTATTTTTTATTTGCCCATTGGGTTATGTATCCATCACTTATTGTTTTGTTAAAACATATAAGCTTTCTTAGTCTTTACATAATAGTCAAATAAATAGAACGAGTATCAACATACACTTAAAAGTATTTTCAAAAAAAAAACATACACTTAAAAGTTAAAATTAATTTATTGAGTGTCAGTATCTTTACTTGTCCCAAATTTTCATTCCTTCATAGTTTCCTCTGGTTTCTTTTCTATTATATTTCCGTAGTATTTCCCGGGATACCAACTGGCCCTTACTGAACTTGTGTTTTAAAAACTATCTACTAGTATAAAGCATACCCCTGCACCCCCACTAAGGCCCCTTGAGATTCATGCTTTATCTAAGGGAGTGTTTGCAACTGCTTCTGCTTAAAAAAAGCACTTTTGGAGATGTAATGAAAAAGTGATTAGTAGTAAAAGTTGATAGTGTTTGAGAAAAAAGTGATTTTGAAAAGTAAAAGTTGGTAGTGTTTGGTAAAATAAGTGCTTTTTGTGTAATAGAAAAGGGCAAAGCACTTTTCACACGCAAGCCGAGAAAAAGTAAAAATTGGATGTGTTTGGTAAATAAGTGCTTTTTTGAGCCAAAAGCTAAGAAGTGCTTTTTTTTAAGCTGTTGCAAACACTCCCTAATTCACTCATACAGGGCATTTAGAAATTATATAACAAACCTGCTTGCTAGGAAAGTTGATATTGTTTAAAAGCATGTTTGAACGCCTACTAATATGCTTTTGGAAAACTGGTACTATATTGTTGAGCATACAACAATATGGGGGTTGTTATCATTGTTATTGCATGTTGTGAGGGTTGCTTTATTGATTTTAGTTAAAAATGAATGTGCACAGACTGATCATGGCACTGTGGAAGGCAAGAGCTTTGAGCCCAGAGGAAAAGGCACGAATTGTTGAAGAAGAATCCAAGGCTAAGAATCTCCAGATAAGTGACGAGGACTCTATGGACAAAAACTTACATGTGGATGATGAGACTGAAGGGAAACACATACAAAGTGAAGAGACTGATTTATCCACGGGAGATGATGATCTCACTATGTATATCGCTTATTCCTCTGTTCTTTCTATTCCTGTAAGTGTCTAATTATACCATTCTTTTGGATGTGAGAACTACACACGTATTTTCAACTATTTTTATCTCGTTACTCAAGGTGGGTTAGGGGAGTCTGAAGTGGTATGCTTCTTCTTGGGTTGGATGAGGGTATGACTTTGGAGAGAGCAAAGTGGAGGGCGGGTATTCGTGTGGAGGAGTGATCTCGTATCATCTTTTCCCCTCATTTCTTTTTCTCTTTTTTTTTTTTTTTTAATCCTTTTATCCTTATATATAAACATTATTTTTATCCTTTTTATTTTATCATTTTTATGTATATTCATCTCTTTTTATATTTTTTATTATATAATAGCTTATCTTTTTTATCTTTATTTTCTTTCTTTTCCTTTTGGTGGTGATATCATGTATCGATTCATGTTAGCCAACCCCAATATCTTTTGGGACTAAGGCTTGGATGTTGTTGTACTCAAGGTTCAGTTAGTTTGGGATGGGCTATACCCTCTTAATTGGCAATTGTGTATTAAGGCAAGTGAAGAGCTCGCCTCAGGCCCAACATCTTGTGCCCCTCTTTGGCCATTATAATGTGTTTTCTCTCCAAATAGAAAGATAAAAGGGGTCTATTGTTGGAAGTTCAACTCAAACCATCAGATTGTTACAGGAGCATCCCTGCTCTCATACCGTCATCCTGGATTTTACCTACATTGTTGAGCTCTTACCCAATTATGTGAAAAGTTAGTTGTAATGAATCAATTGAATAAATTATACGTATTAGAAAGATTAGACATTTTATTCATTTCTCAATACATGGTCATGGGCATGGCTCTGTATTATCTTTGGTTCAGTAAGGACTAAGGACATTTATTTTGTGAAAAGGGGGTTCTTCAATTCTTCACAATCTTTTTACTTTTCTTTTGTTGGCTTTGATGTGCGATGTTGATTCGGCCTACTGGTAAACTTCTTTCTTAAAAATGATTCACAAACAGGACCCTATAAATATTCAGGGACCCAAGGAGGGGTATGCATGCATGTGAGCAGTGCTCTAAAAAGGCATTAGGCGCCTTTGAATATCACTAAAAGCCCGCTTCTGTAGTGAAACTATCTGTAGTGAAACTATTGAGATTTGGAGTTCCATAGGTCAAACTCTGAATTGCATTTTTATATTCGTCCGCGATAAGATCGCTTAACATGTTTGTAACAGAAACCCACTCACTGATATGTGGAATGGCATTCTTTGAACCCATACTGTGAACATAAGTTCTTTATGTAACTATCATTTCTACAATGTTCAGACAGATTTTTTCATGGAGTTGTTTAGCGGGAACGAACTGGACAGAAGAGTAATGGAGAGAGCAGGGTGTCTAAACTATTCCTACAGCCCATGGGAATCAGAGAAGACAGATGTTTACCAAAGACAACTTTATTACAAAATTGATAAATGGATATCACGCTACAAAGCAGAGGTCACAAGCACTCAACAGAAATCCCGCCTTCCTGATAAAAATGGTTGGCTCATCGAAGAGGTCTTGACATTTCATGGGGTTCCACTGGGCGACTATTTTAATGTACGTATTTTGTCCCTCTAAATTTCCGCATCGCTTTCATGTTAACACTTAACACCAATGGTGTATAATCAAGCGGGGTCACATTCTTAGGGTATAGCAACTAGGTGTGAATTAGTCGGGGTTTGACGAAACTTGAGTGGAATTATGTGGGGACTAAGTGGAAACCAGACATAGCCAAACAAGAGAAGTCTTATACCTAGTGGATATTAATCATGACTAGTCGGGATTTCTTGAGCAACGGCTAACATAATTATAGTCTTTTTAGCATGCGCATCACGGGAATACCAAATAGCATTATATTTTCTCTCTCTTAAAGCTTGTTCTGCTGAAGTGATAGAATCTGTCGAGTTTGTTGTAAATGTGGTGAACAAGACTTAATTATCCAAAGCAGTCTTGTTTGATCAAACTAAACTTTTTTTCATGTAATCTGATGAAAACAGTTGCATGAAAGGTAAATAATACGGAGTATAAATTTAGCTAAAATTTGAGTAGGAATGCTTAATGAATCATAGCAGTTGCACCTGTTCAAAATTTCAATGAGTTGTAGTAGTGTTGCACATTTGTCAAACATGACTCTTTTTTGGAATGTTGTATTTTTTTAATTATTGAAATGAAATGGAATCTAAAAGATACTAGTGTCATTTATTATTATAATTCCAGCCAAACAGTAACTTTTGCTCCTTTTTATTCAAATAATACATCAAGTTAAGTAAATGTTTTGTCAAGTTAATAAGCTAAAAAAATAGGCTTCCAGTTGGAGTCTTAAGTACTCACCTCTTCCCCTTGTTGTTGGGTTTCAGCTTCATCACAGGTATCAAGTTGAGGATGTCTCATCAGGAACAACAGGGTGCAATGTGCAGGTATACTTTAGGGTGCAATGGTCAAAATACATTAAACATCAGAAAAGAATCACCAAGAACATCACTTCCAATCTTCAAGAGCGGTTGTTGATCATGTTTAGTGCACTTGAGAAGGAATATCTCTCGGAACAATAATTGGGCACGGTGAAACCACTATTCATCCACGACTACAACAACTGCCAGTGGGGTTTCTTATCAACTGAATCATACTGCTTGTGAAGTGCCTTAGTAAGTATGTCCCCGCCCAGGGAAAATTAGCTATTCTTTTCATACTAAATAAAGCGCTACTCTCTCTACTTTGATACAAGTGATGCGTTGGAGGACCACACATATTGAAAAACAAACAAATACCAATATTATACACTTAATAAGAAGTAAGGTACACCCCCAGTATTATACTTTCGGTATGGCCATTTAGTTATTGGCAGTTTATCGGACCAATAAACGTTACCTGACTATGTTCTTTTTGTACACTGACAAGATAGATGCATACTCCCTCTCATTTATCACAGTGTGTGTGTGTGTGTAAAGAAGTCTGGTTTTACCTATGATAGCAGACTCGCAGTGAAACTTGAGACCTGTGATATATAGCATTCTTGTGAGTGCATGTTGGTCTTTGTTTTCCATGTTGTCTAATAGGAGTAATACAGAGTGATTATTTTTCCTTTTAATAGTATCAGTTACACTTTGTGCTTTAGTACAGGGGTAAGACTGCGTACATCCGACCCCCCCTTACCCCACCGTAGGTGGGAGCCTTTGCGGCACTGGGGTAAATGATGATTGAATAGTATCAGTTACACTAAATGATAGTGTATCAACCAGAAAGACATCACAGATGATCTTAAACTCATTGTTGTATACGGAGTATTTAATAGCTAATCTTTGGCTTGTCAAACAGTCACAATGTAAATTATGTTTTTTATAGCCTTGTGTTACTATATACTCCGTATATGTTAAAATCATTTTTAGAGGTCGTTTGGCAGCACTGTTTTTCGGCTTATCAGCCAACTTTTTCACCAAACACGTAACTTTTACTTTCGCGTGCAGAGTTGTGTAATAAGCAGAAAAAGTAAGGTAAGAGTTACTTTTCTGGCTGTTTTGGCTGAAGTTACTGTAGATGACCATTTTAGCTATTTTTACATATAATTTTTTCTTTATTTTATTAATAAAATATATTTTAAAAATAATTGTTCCTTAAATCAGCAGAATCAGCCAATGCAGCCACTTCAGCTAGAATTTCAGCAGAATCAACCAAAACAGCCGATTTTCGTGCTACCAAACGGGCTCTTAAACCAAATGTTTCCTATTAAGTTCAGGAACTTTTAGTTGAACCTTTTGAGTTTGTCATGTGCTAATAATTTAAGTCCATTGGACAGGGTTGGCTTTCCAGAAACAGGCATTCTCAGGGAGGAGTGCCTCTATTCTCTCCCGACTGTGCATCTCAGACGGGCGGTCCTCTATTGATGAGATGGAAGTCTGAGTTGGAAAAAATGCGGTCTAGGATGGGATCCAAATATAGGATGGAAGAAACATCATGGCTGCCTTTTGGGAGATGAAAAGAAGCCAATTGAGCCACCACCTTTTTTTGCATCTCAGCCTAACCTTTTTTAACACATGCATCACCAGTCGTTTGGCAGCAATGGATACAAATATGCCCTTAGAGTTTATTTTCAGTAGAACTACATAGCACACTATTCGACTCAAGTTATTATAAATATAAAAGCATTTCCTTCAACAGTTTCTAGAGAAAACTTCATGTCCAGCCGGCCTGACGGGAACCGCCGTCCGGCCGAGGACATTTTGGGCACTTCCCGATCGAATTTTTTGATGAATTTTTTTGAGCATGTTATTCATCAAGTCTAGTTTATCCATACGAAATTTCAGCTCAAAATTCGATTGGGAAGGCATTCAAATCATTTTTTGAAGTTGACTGCGTTTTTATATGTATATTTTGACGCAGTCAACTTCAAAAAATTATTTGAATGCCTTCCCGATCGAATTTTGAGCTGAAATTTGGTATGGATAAACTAGACTTGATGAAGAACATGCTCAAAAACTTTCATCAAAAAATTCGATCGGGAAGTGCCCGAAATGCCCTCGGCCGGACGGCGGTTCCCGTCAAGCCGGCTGGACAAGAACGGGACTCCAGTTTCTATGCAAACAAAGAATAATAATAGCCTTCAGATAACACCGATTCAGGAAAATAATGTAGACTTTATTCAACCAATTCATTATTTAGTCTCTAACTCTCTAAGAACTTGTTCTGGTCATAAAAAAAAGATTAGGTCAGGTAGTTCTAATAGGAACTGCTGTCCGAACTATTCTATTTGAGGTGCTTTTAGGTGGAATTTTTTTATTAAATTTTTTTGATCATGTTTTTTCGTGAAGTTTAGATTATGTCCACAAAATTTCAGTCTAAAATGCAATCGGGAAGTCAGTTAAATAATTTATGTTTTTTATAGGCAAAAGGGTCAAATAGGCCTTTGAATTAACTTAAAGTGTTCAATTAGCCCCTTATATAGGAGGTTCAGTCCGACCATCGCCAATTGAGGAGGTTCCCGATGGAATTTTTTGATAAAATTTTTTGAGCATCTTCAAGTCTAGTTTACCCATATCAAATTTCAGATAAAAATTAAATCAGGAAGGCAGTCAAATGATTTTCTGAAATGTACTGCGCTGTTTAACTTCACAGTTATCTTCAAAAAATCATTTGACTGCCTTCCTGGTGGAATGTTTAGTTGAAATTTGGTATGTGTAAACTAGACTTGATGAAGAAGATGCTCAAAAAATTTCATCAAAAAATTCCACCAGGAACCGCCCCAATTGGCGACGGCCGGGCAGAACCTTCTATATATGGGACTAATTGAACACTTTAAGTTAGTTCAAGGACCTATTTGACCTTTTAGCCTAAAATATATGATGTCTAAATACCGCCAAAAACATATTTTTTTTTTTGTTACTAACGGAAGTAAAAATAGGAAAAAACATATTAAAGTCTAATACTCTCTAATACATGTATGCATTATACTATCGTGTATGTATATACAAAATGAGTTTCCGAAACGTACTGTGTTGTTTAACTGCGCAGTTATTTTCAAAAAATCATTTGACTGCTTTCCCGGTTGAATTGTTAGCTGAAATTCAGTATGGGTAAACTAGACTTAATGAAGAAGATGCTCAAAAAAATTCATCAAAAAATTCCACTGGGAACTGCCCTAATTGGCGATGGCTGGGCAGAACCTCCTATATAAGGGGCTAATTGAACACTTTAAGCTAGTTCAAGGGTCTATTTGATCCTTTAGCCTATATTTTATACTCCTTCCGCCTTCAAAACAAACTACTTGCTAGTTGCTACTTTACTAATTTGGGTGTCTCAAATTAAAACAAACTTTTTATTTCCATAAAAAGTAATTTTTCAATAAAAATGTTAAACCTATCGTCACTTTTATTTACCTTTTACTTGATTTGATATAAAGCAGAGATGTAATTAGGATCTCAAAATAAAAGTTTATTTTGCATAAATATGTATAAGTAAAAGGGAAGTTATTTTCGGGACAGGGAAAATACATGATTGCCCATAGAAATGTATAGAAATTGACCTTCATGGCTTTCATTCAAAATGGATGTTCAGGATGTTTTTAATTGAGTTGTTTATTCAGTCAAGACCAAATCAGACTAGACTAAAATTAAATCAAATAGATCAAACTTAAATAGTTAAATTGACAATACATAGTCTAGACTTAAACAATAGTAAAACACACACAACTTGTTGATTAGACCAGACTAGATTAAATTTAAACAGATCATCTGGGGTCGCAAAGTTCAAATTCAATTAATAATTCAAAGGTTTTACACCTGGCAATTTTTTTTAAATGCTACATATAAATTCTAGAGCCGTTTGTTTGTGTACATTTTTAACTAAAAAAGTTTCATACATTTTATAAAAAAAAATGTGTTTTTAACTAATTGAGTGTACATATTTTCAAAAAATAAAAACTAATTGAGTGTACATCATGGACAGATCCGTGAACTTGAGTTGGATTGAGGCCATTGAGGTGAAGAATAATTATACGTAGTATTAAGTTAACAAAAAGCAAAAATAAAAGGGTTAAATATAAAAAATGAAAAAAATTATACTAAAAGGATTGAAAAAATAAAAGTTGCTTAGGAGGTTTGGAAATGATTTTGATTTTGCTTCTTTTTTTAAAGCAAAAGCAAAAGCAGAATCGGTTTTCAGAAGTTGGTCTCCTCAGCTTCTAAAAAACTTATTCTAGGAGTAAATTAGGGCATCAGGAGTACTTCTGCACTTCCACCCAAATACTCCAACTCCTGCTTCTGCTCCCTGAAGGCGCAAAAGCAGTTTTAAGAATCAGATCCAAACACTCCCTTAGACTCTAGCCCACCATAGCCCCAATATAAATTATTTCCTGAAAATGTGATCAAATAAAATGAAAGGCGTGTAAAAAATATGTACAATCAGAGCCCGTTCGGTAGTATCAAAGTCGGTTGAATTGATTGATTCTGTTGAAATTTATGAAATTTTGGCTGAAGTGGCTGAATTGGCCATTTCTGGTGATTTATGAACAAATCATATTTAAAATATATTTTATTAGTAAAATAAATAAAAAATTATATGTAAAATAGTTAAAATGCTCTTTACTGTAACTTTAATCAATACAATCAGAAAAATCCAACCTTACTTTTTCTTATTATTACACAGTTCAACGCGTAGAATCAAAAGTTACGCATTTGACGAAAAAGTTTATTGATTAGCCTGAGAAGCCAAAAAAATAGCAAATTTGCTATAGGTACCCCATACTTACCCCATTTCCTACCCCATATAAATACCCTCCCAAAAACTTACCCCCACTCCCTCATCTTCCTTCCCCCTTATCTCCCTTTCATCTCCCTCTTTTCCAGCCAACCCCTCTCCCTTTCATCTCCCTTTCATTTCCCTCAATTAAGCCCCCCTGCTTGGTTCCGGCGAACACCCAAGCAGCTCCGGTGGGAAGTCAGAAAACCCAGTCGGACACCACCCAAACCCCCGTCAGGCATCAGGCCCCGACGACCCCCAACGGCAACGACAAGGTAGCAGGAGCGGAGATCTAACAGTAGCCGGACTACGTAACGGCAGGGGGGACCGATGCCCGACAAGCTGGTCATCTTCTCCGGCGACACCTGACCGTTATCCCAGTAATTTCAGTGCCGGCCAGATTTAAAAACCTTCCACACCTTCTCCACCAACCTGTAATTTCAGTTCAAAACCTTCAAATTCCAGCGACCATAACTTCGAAACATACCTGTGATCGTTCAGATCTGTTAGCTTTGGTTCAGATCTGTTAGCTTCAAATTCTAGTGAAAAGAGTTGTCTGACATTCCATTTGATATGTCTGTAATGTGAAAATAGTTGTCTGTCTGGTGAAATTATGAAGTACTTGTGTATATTTAGACTACTCTGTGATGATATTGAGATGTCTGTCATGGTATTTTGAATATTATGTAATTGGTTTGGAGTTGTCTGTCAATTTATTTTGAATTGTTTGAAATTGGTTTATAGTTGTCTGTCATGTGAAAATAGTTGTCTGGCAAGGCATATTAGTTGTCTGGTACGTTAAATCCAATTGTTTAAAATTGGTTTGTAGTTATCTGTCATGTGAAAGTAGTTGTCTGACAAGACATTTGAATTGTCTGTCAGTTTATTTTAAATTGTAGAAAATAGTTTCGTAGTTGTCTGTCAGGTAAAATTAGTTCTCAGGCAACCCATTTGAATTGTCTTGCACGTTGTTTGGAATTCATTAAAATTGCGTTCTAGTTTTCTGTCATGGGAATTGACTTCTCTACAAATGTATTGCAACAAATTGTCTGTAATGAGATATAAAATGTCTGGCCTTTCTTCTGAGTTGTCTGTCTACAAGTCGGGAGAATGTGGCCCAGACTACTAATGTCTGACCAAGACAAAATTTGTTTGGCTATACGACAAAGAGTACTTAATTGGCCCAGACTACCAATGTCTGGCCAAGACAAAATTTGTCTGGATGTAGGATAGAGAGTAGTTAATTGTCCCAGATTACTAATGTCTGGCCAAGACAAAATTTGTCTGGCTGTAAGACAAAGAGTAGTCCTTATTCTAACAGGAAACCCTACTCTTTTCCTTGTAAATACTACATATGTAATTCATTCGCCACATTTGTCTTCACATTATCGATACAACCATGTTTCAAAAAAAGGCACACACATTTATATAAAAACTACATTACCAATACAACCATGTTTCCAAACAAAATCACATACATTTAAAGTGCGACTCTAACAACTATAAAACCACATTCACTTCAAACAACTATGAAACCACGTTCACTTTATGCTAACAACTTTATTCCAAACCAATACATTTTATGTACGACTCTAACAACTATATATAAAACCACGTTCACTTCAAGCAACTATGAAACCACGTTCACTTTATGCTAGACAGACACTGCAGTTCCAAATTGTTTGTCCGCCAAACAAAATACAAACAAATGACGAAAAACAACATACTCTTCTCCTAGACTAACAAATACAGACACTGCACTTACAAGTTGTCTGTCAGGAAAGGCAACCCTTTTTTTCGAAAACACACCAAAAAATGAAAAAATCAAGAAAAGTAGATCTGCTCAAGTCATTTGAAGCTTCTTGATTTGCACTTTCGCCGTTGTCTCCCCACGTCACCGAGCTTTCCCCTTCGTCCGATTACTGTAGCTCTTCCATTTGAAACGAAAAAAAAAAGGCAGAAGAGGAGAGAAGCAGGAGAAGAAGCTTGGAGGGAGAAAAGATTGTAAAAATGAGAAGACTTGATGGGGAGAGATCTTGAAATGGAGAAGAAATCAAGATTTGGAGAAAAGAGAAAGAAAGGGGAAGGGATGGGGGGGCTGCGTGAAAAGAAAAGATGGAGGAGAGAGGGAGGGAAAGAGAAGAAAAGTGGGGGAGGGAGAGAGGGTTTTGGAAAGGGGTAAAAGGGATGGTAAAAAGGGAGAATATTTACATGAAGTAGGGAATGAGGTAACTATGGGGTACCTATAGCAAACTTAAAAAAATAGAATAACCAAACGGACCGTATACGTCCTCAATCATTTTTCCCTAAATTCTACTTGCTTTTTAGTTTTTACGAGTAGTTTGTATACTTTGAAGTTTGAAATCGTGAGTTCATATCATACATCAGGAGAAAAATTCCAAAAAAAAAACTTGGCTGAGAAAACACAAATCGTCTCTCTCCGCCTCGCTGAGAAAACTTGGATGAGATTCAATACAATTTGTTTGCTTACGAGCTTCAACTGCAGATAAACCCTAAAGCAAGGATTAGAAACCTAAAGAGCGAGAAACCCACGGTTAAATGTTCATTTGCAAGGGTAGGCCCCTTCACTTTCTACTCCGTTTCCTGCAAGTTTCCTAGTCAATTCACTGGAGCTTATACAACCCAATACCGAGTTCTAATTTTACCCGAGATTGAATTGCTTCCCTTCGTTTCCATTGTCGTTTTCATGATTATTATTTTCCTCTCAGCTTTATATCTTGTGAATAATTTGTTAATACGATCTCCATCAATACAGCTTTGATTCATTGTGCCTTTTTTTGCTGCAGTTTGAGCATCCAAATTTACCTCCCAGTTTTTTTCTTCTGATTGAATGTCGCCACCTTTCTCTCAACTTCTCAGCTTAGTACCATATCGTGAATCCTAGTTGCTTGAACTATATTCATGAATTGGTATTGCCTATTAAGGTTTGAGCTTACACATTTCATTCTAGACTAGGGGTACCATTCGCAGACTTACACATTTCATTGTAGGTAATGGCTGATATTATTCCTTACCTGTTTTCTTATCAGCTTGATTCAAACCTGAAGGTTCCATTAACAAAAAATTGTTTTAGCAACAAAGAAGCAGTAATTTTTATCAAGCCTTTGTAGAATATCCTAATACATGATAGAGAATTTGTAGAATTTCATAGGCTTTAAAAAAGCAAAGGAGAACTTTATATATGGTCATTTTTCATGTTTTTCCCATTGCATCGGCTACTATTTCATGTTTATTTTCATTTAAATGAATACAATGCAATATTTATTCCTTGATGTGAAGGTTCTTGTTTGATTATAAAGCTTTTTTTAGCATACAATAAGCTGCAATTGATATCAAGCTTATGCAAATTTCTTGATTGATAGAGAATTTGTAAAACTATGAGAAAGTGCATGGTCATTGTTCATGTATCTCTGATATCATCTGCTGCTGGATCGTGTTTAACTTCATTATAAATGAATATCTTTGTTCATCAGTAACACACAAGTCATAGAATGCAGGGGCTGTTATTTATTGGTAATGTAGTGAGGTTAATGCAATACTAAGGGGGCATTGTGTAAACTATCTAACATTTTGGGGAGGAGGCAGAATTTGTTCCTGAAGAGAGATAATACACTGAAATGTATGGGAGAACTGGTCTTGATCGATTTAAGAAAGCTCAAACCTTAGAACCCTTCTCAGTAGGTACAAGTTCATCAGCTTCTAAGACAAATACACATGCAGCTACAAAACCAGCTGTTCAATCTCTAGCAGCGTATTCTCAATCCCAAATATCTCACCAGCAACCTCAACACTCAAATCAACAAAAAACAGAAGAGACTAATCTCTTACTACCTGTAGTGCCAACTCAGCACGTGACTCAAGTTGGAGGAGGCCAATCGACATGGAAGCCACCTGATTGGGCCATTGAGCCCCGACCTGGGGTTTATTATCTTGAAGTCATCAAGGATGGTGAAGTGCTCGATCAAATAAATCTTGATAAGCGTAGACATATATTTGGGCGCCAGTTTCATACATGTGATATAGTTCTTGATCATCAGTCTGTCTCGCGGCAGCATGCTGCTGTTGTTCCACACAAAAATGGAAGGTATGCGATATCAGGATTTCTTCTATTTGCTGCTCGTAATTGGGTGTTGTTCTTTTATGTTTGATGCTTCATGCCTAGAATAATCTTTAACAACACATAAAATCATTGATTTGGTTCATTGTCATATTATTTCCTTCTTGACTCAAATTGCCTTTTACTTTTCCAATCAAGCCAGATTGTTAGCTCTCCCCCACATAAAAAGAACAAAAAGAGCAGATACAACTGAATCAGTAGTTGATGCCTTGATGGCATATTGGCATCAAGTATTTTTTAAGTTGTGTTCTAGTCCCTTATATGTGTTTAAGTGTTTGGATATTCTAGTTTCCTTCTTCCCACTATGTACCAAATTACGAGTATTCATCGGATTTCTAGGAGAGACCCACATGCCGACATGTATTAAATTTCTGAAAGGGAAAATGGATAAATTGATTGAAATGTCTTTATATGAATCCACGAGTTTTACCAATTTGTGCTTTGGTGTTGGATTTGTTATATATTACTCCTTCCTCCCCCAAAATCACAAAAATTAAGATATTTGGGTTTGCCACGATTTTTATGAAAATAAAGGACAAATGTTATTTTACCATTTTGACCTTTTAAAAAGAAGAAATAGTAGCACGAGACCACAAAAAGTAAACTCTGAAATGATAAATATAGGGATAAAGTGGGAAATAAAAGTTTTTGATGTTTAAATTAAGAAGGTGTTCATTATTTTGGACAGACATAAAAGGAAAGTGTATCTTACAAAATGGGGAGGTTAGTGGAAGCCGGAAGGAGATTGTAATTCTCTTATGGGCCACAGGAATTTAGTGGAAGGAGATTGTGAGGATCTAGTCTCATAAGTTAAAAGCAACATATGTGATCTAAACTTCTAAGGAAAAACTATTAGGGTCAAATTATCTTATATTTTCACATTAGTTTATTTATCTATTTATTAGTGGGGGAGGGGGAGTGTGATTAGATACTGAAAGGAAAGAGTAAAGTGCAACACAATGTGCATTGGGGACTCTACAAAGCGAGAGTCCGGGAAGGGTCCCACCACAAGGGTGTATAGAGAGTGCAAGACTTCTCTTGTCATTGTGACAAAATGCCGCCCCCAATACTTTTGACAAGTGAAAGGAAAGAGTAAACGTTAGATATGAGTTTGAAAGCGAGTCTAAACTCTGGGTTCCTGAGACCATGAGAACTAAGTTATCTAAAATGTAAAGAACGATTACTGCTAATTGGCTAAAGCTTTGTAATATTAATGAGCTACATGACTTTGTGGTTATCAGTAATTCAGTATCAAACACTAGTGGCTCTTTTCATTCCTTCTCCTTCTATTAAGTGGCGATGTAGCTTTGATTACCCTTAAATATTTTCTTATTCAGCATATATGTGATTGATTTGGGATCTGCACATGGTACATTTGTTGCAAATGAGAGACTGACGAAGGACTCACCTGTAGAACTTGAGGCTGGACAGTCTCTGAAGTTTGCTGCTTCAACAAGGACATATATCCTGAGAAAGAACAACTCTGCGCTCTTTCCTCCTCCTCCACAACTTGACGAAATCAATCTCCCTCCACCCCCAGATGCCACAGATGAGGAAGCAGTTTTGGCTTATAACACTTTTCTAAACCGTTACGGGCTTACAAAACCGGGCATAGAATCTAAATTTTCAAATTCAAGTAGGGGCAGAGATGACAATTCACTCCCTGAAAGAGCTGCTAAGAGATTAAAGAAAACTAGAGTGGCGTTCCGAGACCAAGTTGGAGGAGAGCTGGTTGAGATCGTTGGGGTCTCGGATGGGTTGGATGTGGAAACAGAACCTGGCCCAGTTGGGGTCAAAGAAGGAAGTCTTGTTGGAAAATATGAATCCCTTGTGCAAGTTACTGTTGTGCCCAAAGGGAAGGAGCAGTTTCCTGCCCCGAAGGATGTCACTGTTTCGCAAACAGGTGTCACTGAGAAACTTAAACAAGTGTTGAACAAGGTTAAGAATCCGCAGAAAGGGGGAATATATGATGATATTTATGGAGAATCTATTTCGGGTAAAGTTGGTTCTTCCTGGGCTTATTCAGCTGATATTGCTCCACAAGGAGAATCACATGCTTCTCTGTCTGTAAGTAGCAAGTCTAGCAGCAAACATGATGATGATACAGATGATTTGTTCGGCTAAGCATATGCATTTTACTCAATACATCTTTAGAATTGATGCACTGAAAATGAAACTTTTGTCGTACTTGTCCATTTTAGTCTTTACCAATGATGATTCTCACTTCAACCGTCTCGATTGGCTGTTGAGGAAACAGGAAACGGTGCCCCATAACTCCGATTAAGTATGACGTAGAGGTGTTATGTTTCCTTCTAGCTGGTATATGACTATGTCATCTGTTTTGTTTTGGCAATTGTTCTTGGGGGTTTCGAAGAAAAGGGAACTTCTAACGTGTATCAATTTGATGAGTCGATTCCATCGCATAAACATTTGAAATGCCAAATACGCCCTTCCGTCTCCGTGATCCGTCTCCCTAATTTTGGCTCGTTTGATCTTTTTCGTCCATCCAATTAAGTTTGTCTCATACATATTTGGTAATAGGGAAAATTATTATTTGCCTCCTGAGGTTATATCATAATTATGATTGCAACCTTGCATTTTCAAAAACCAGTTAATTACTCCCTAAGTTTTGATCATTCTCACTGTATGCCCCCTCACGTTAATATTTATTAAATTAAATGTAATATGCCTCTTAAATTCAATAAAAAATGTCTATAAAATTAATTTTTAAAATATAATACAATTTTTTTTAATCATAATTATAAGTCATTGTTGTTGATCGTTTGTTTTTCTGCTTACCTACTCGATCGTGGAGTAACTATTAATGAGAGTAGTTAAAGGGAAGACTCACAAGTAATATTCATGGCATACATAAAAAGAATTGTTTATAATATGTGATATCAAAATTCTAGGCACTTCTTCATATTTTTTGAAGTGAGGCACTTCTTTATTATGAATATAAAAGTCTTGTTTGAAATTCATTCGGCTGAATTAATCGCAATGGCATCCCTTTCATGTGTAGCGAAGAAGAATACCAATATTTTTTTGAGATAATTATCATAGTTGTGACTAAAACTGATTCACTTTACCAATCTATGACCTAACTAGTTTTTTTACCAAAATAATATTAAAAATCATAATATTAAAATAAAATTCGTAATAAATAAATAAATAATTTAGGTGGACAAATATACCCTTTAGGTTATATCTATAAAATCCTAAACTCGTACTCTTTTCTCCAACCCTAGCCTCCATTCTCCAACCTCCATAGATCTATCCGCACGCAACCGCACGCCCCTGCCCCCACCTCCCCATGGCCCACTGTCTTCCGCCTCATGGCACGCCGACACGCCATCCGCCGCCGTGCAGTATAGCCGATAGAAAGTTTAGGGGACTGCACTCCGTTGCTAGCCGATGAAGTAATCGTTACTATCACTGGAGGAAGTTGCATCGTCCATAGAAGCTTGTTCGCCGCTTGTTCGCCGCTTGTTCGCCGTTCTCTCTGGCACCACACCTTGTGTTTTGATAGAATTTCGACTGAAACGTAGTTCTATTTTGTTTTTAATTCATCCAATCATTTCTTTTGAAAAAGAGTACTGGCTTAATGGCTTTTGTGTCGGCATATTTTTTGGATTCATCTGCATTTCGTTGCATCCCAAGTAACTTTATTTTAATGGAATTCTATTTTGGCAGAAGAGAAATCAATTCTATTAGTGGAATGGTCCTGGAGATGGGTTATGGGCGGCACAGATTGAAATTTGGGATCGGTAGTGTATCCGATAATTGTGAAGCCAGTAATTTTTTGTTCTGTTGCGATTTTGTTTAACAAAAAACGAAATTAGGGTTCGTGGGCATTGAAAATGAACATTGAACATTGGCATTGAACATGTCAATAAGTGTTGAGTAGACAATAAATAATAATATTGTACATAGCACTGAACGAATGCATTGAGTAAGTTTGTTGGGCACTGAAATGAAATATACTTAATTAGATGTAAAAAAAATAAAATTATTAAATCGAAAAAATAAAAATAAATTCATAAAATGAATGAGAAGAGAAATAATTTTGGCGGAAGTGCAGTGATTATTACCGGATTTGCAGTAATGTTGTGCAGTAATATCGTGCATTGACGGCAATACAAAATTATTACAAAGTGCAGTAATTTTAATTGGACGGAATTAGTTCAAAATGCACATATTTTACACAAGGGTATTTTGGTCATTAAACATTTTAATATGAACGAATTTTTCTTTTTCTTTTTTGATTTTTGGTCATACAAATGTCTAAAAACTAACTTGGTCATATTTAGAGAAACTCAACGAGTTTTAGTCATATCTTAGAAAATTTCCCTATTTTTTTTTATCATTCCATGACCTAAAAGATAGGTTTAGTATCAATAAGGGATACAAAAGACAAAATGTGAGATGAATTTGATTATTCCAATTATTCCATGATCTGATTAATTGAAAGCTATCAATCTAAGACGGAAAATATCATAGATTTTAATTTATTTAAAATTTTTATTAACTATGTTGCTCATTTGTGATGATATTATCTTCATAGAGTTTTTTTACTGTAAAAAGTTCATTCGTTTTATAAGATTAAATGATATTAAATTTTTTAAAATAAATATATTAAAAATTCATGATATTTTATATCTTACTCAAGAGTATTTTCTCTTAATTACTCTCAATAATATTTATTCCACGATGGAGTAGCTAAGTAGAAAAATAATGATCAACAACAATGACTAATAATAATGATAATAATTTGTGTTTTAAATTAAGAATTAATTTTATAGACATTTTTCATTGCATTTAAGAATTATATTAAATTTAAATTTAACAAATATTAACGTGAGGGGGCAAATAATGAGAACGATCCAAACTAAAGGGATAACTAATTGATTTTTGAAAATGCAATGTTGCATTAATAATTATGGCATAACCTCAGGGGGTTAATAGTAAATTTCCCTTGGTAATATTTGGGTGGTAATATTTGGGTGGCTATTTTTTTACAATTTATCAATTTAATACAATCACATAATTCCACTTTTTCTTAAAAGTTGGGGAAAAGGTGCAAATAGGCCCATGTACTAACAAAAAAAGGTCAAATAAGCCCTTATTTAGGAGCATCTGTCCGGCCGTCGTCATTTCGGGTGGTTCCCGGTGAAATTTTTTGATGACATTTTTTGAGCATCTTATTTATCAAGTCTAGTTTACTCATACCAATTTCAGCTAAAATTTCAATCAGGAATTCTTGAAAACTTCAAATGAATTCTTGAAAATAACTGCACAGTTAGAAGCGCAGTTATTTTCAAGAATTCATTTGAATGCCTTCACGATTGAAGTTTTAGCTGAAATTTGGTATGAGTAAACTAGACTTAATGAATAAGATGCTCAAAAAATTGCATCAAAAAATTCCACCAGGAACCACCCCAAATGGCGACGGCCGGACAGAGCCTCCTAAATAAGGGCTTATTTGACATTTTTTGGTTAGTACATGGGTCTATTTGCACCTTTTCCCTAAAAGTTGTGTCACACTCCTTTGTCCCAAACATAGTGGAACGGAGGTACTATCAAGTAAAATATATTTTCTTCATAAAGAAATTAAGACACGGAAAAAGTTAAAATCAGAATTTGCAATGACTTTAGCAAAAATACCAAGTAACACTTAAACTGATACTACCTCCGTCCCTTTTATATTGGGACGGAAGAGAGTGACATGATTATTAAGAAAAGTGGGTTTGTGTAGTTGATATTAATTGATAAAGTAAGAATAAAGTAGGAATGATTTGTAGCCACACAAACTTTACCAAATATGGTATGTGACAATTTTAGTGGGACTTCCCGAAAAGGTAAAAAGGGATCATATAAGGGGGGCGGAGGGAGTAATATTTATCGAAATTGATGAAATTTCAGATGAAGTGATTGAATTGTGAAAAAAATAATATTGAAAATATAATTTATTTAAAAAATTAAGAATATATTACAATAAAATAGTTTTTTGATGCGCTTTAAAATTGTATCTGCTCTTTTTGTTAAATGTCAATATCCTTGAACTGAGATAGGTTTCGAACCTGTGATTTTCACCTTGGAAGTGTCACCGTGATGTCTTCAAACTACAATGTGTTTGGCATTATATTAAAATAGTTACAATGGTCGTCGACAACAATTCGTCCAATTCAGCCTGAAAATTATATTTAATTTATTTTATTTTTAGTATTACTCAATTTAGCGCATGAAATCAAAAGTTATATATAAAATAAAAAATGATATAAAATTGATAACTTGAAAATAAAAGTTACTATACACGCTCTAGATCAGAAGTCTATCGGGGATGTCTTCACTTGGATTTATTTTAGTGAATACAACTTCTAATGTGCATTGTGTAATAAATAAAATAAGTAAGATTAAACTTAATTTTCTGATCGATCGAAACTGTGGAATATTACTCGTACTATTTTAGCTTTATTTTTAGGAAAAATTGAAAATAATTATCCCAACTATTGCCGGTCCGCTGAAAATAATCCCAACTATTGCCGGTCCGCTGAAAATAATCCCAACTATTGATTATTTTTGTATAATCCCAACTATATGGGCCGTCTGCCAATAATGGTCCATTTCCGGATATTACCTCCTATAACAAGTGAATTTTAAATAGAAATTAAATGTAAAAATTAAAAGTTGGGATTACTTGCTATATCTCTTCCCATCTACTTTAGAAACCACATGAATTTATTTATATGGACCATTATTGGCGGAAGGTCCCTAAAGTTGGGATTATTCTGAAATAATCGATTGTTGGGATTATTATGAGCGGACCGCCAATAGTTGAGATTATTACTATCAATTTTTCCTTATTTTTATACATTGTTTTCTTTATTTTACTAATAAAATATATTTTAAATATATGAAAATAGCTAAAGTTGTCTTCTCCATCATATTTAGCCAAAATCTATGTGGAAAAGTAACTTCATCATTACTTAGTTGAGAAAATGGAAACTAATAATCCAACATTTTAACGATCTTCTTCCAATAGTCTCACTTTATAGTAATTCAGGAATAATCCAATCTTTGCACCTCATCTTCATTCGCTGGTTAATGACTGGTTGGGGTGACCTGTTATTCCATGTTTCTCATTTTCTTTGCAAATCATTTTAACCATAAATCACACATTTCATAAAATCTTCTCCAAGTGGTCCCACATATCATTTTTTTCTCCCTAAAACTTTTCACTTTTTATTTTTATCGTCTTGACTATTTTATTCCCCTTTTTGGCCTTCTTATTTTTATTTTTATTTCTTTTCAATTTTTTCAATGTTTATCTATTCCAAATTTCTTTCTATTTCTTCTTCCCGTTTATTATTTCATTTTCATTTTTATATATTTTTTCAGATTAGTTTCCTTCTTATAAAAGATCTGTTACTCACCGTACGAACTTTTTATTTTCCTTTCTTTTTCCTTTACATTCTTTTGACTTACACTTATTTATTTCTTTTTTCTCTTTCTTACCTTTATTTCACCACTAATGTATTTTTGAGAAAATAGTCCCAAA